CTGAGGCTGCAGAAGTTCCTTCTCTCCCAGAGACAACTCCAGGAGGGGAAGGCCAAGGAGACACCTAGTGTTGGAGAAGCCAGTGGAGGGCTTGGGGCTAGCTAGTCACCCCGACCCTGAGTCCATGTCTCAGGCCAAGCTGGAGAAGGGCCCAGGCAATGCCTTGGTTTCTGCACTTAGAGTCAGTCCTGGCACGTTGGTGAGAGAAAGGCTGCTGGGGCAAGGCAGGCCCAGCAGCATGTCACACACACAGGACCAGCGTTGCTCGGGGTTGTAAGACACTCTCAATGGCCTGCATACCACCCTCCCTGGAGGCAGGCAGGCTGCACACTGGTCCAACTGGCTCACTCTGCTCCATGCCAGCTTCCCTGGATCCTATGTCAGAAGAGCACGGGACCATGGGCAAAGTGTCCACGCACTGAGACTGCCACCTTAAAAATTCCTTTTATTTATTTTTTTAAAAATATATTTTATTGATTTCTTTTTTTTTTTTAATATATTTTATTGATTTTTTACAGAGAGAAAGGGAGAGAGATAGAGAGTCAGAAACATCAATGAGAGAGAAACATCGATCAGCCGCCTCCTGCACATCCCCCACTGGGGATGTGCCCGCAACCCAGGTACATGCCCTTGACCGGAATCGAACCTGGGACCTTTCAGTCCGCAGGCCGACGCTCTATCCACTGAGCCAAACCGGTTTCGGCTATTTTATTGATTTCTTACAGAGAGGAAGGGAGAGGGATAGAGAGTTAGAAACATCGATGAGAGAGAAACATCGATCAGCCGCCTCCCGCACACCCTCCACTGGGGACATGCCCGCAACCAAGGCACATGCCCCTGACCGGAACCAAACCTGGGACCCTTCAGTCCGCAGGCCGACGCTCCATCCACTGAGCCAGACCGGCTAGGGCTTAAAAATTCCTTTTAAACAAAGCAGACGGGAGTCCTCATGGTCCCTGGAGTGGGCAGGGGACGGGGAGCGTTGCCTCCAACGAGCTGCAGTCCATTTGGCCGCCTGGCTGTGCTCCCCTGAGGCCCGAGCTTCAGAGGTTTCCCCTTGGCCTCCATCTTGGCACTGTCTGGTGGGCCGCCAGCCCATACATCTTGTGGCCGCTCGATAGAGCCGCCGGAGTCTGACACATCCATCAGCCAGCCCTGGCGGCAGGGTTCTGCCTGTGTGTGCAGAGGCACTGAGAGGGACTGGGCAGTGCCTGGCCTGAGGGCCACCAGCTGCACTTCCACAACCTGGCTGTCCTGTATAGAACCAGCCCCAGTTGTGTAAAAGGAAGGGGCTTCTATTTCACTCTGGAGATGCTGGGGGGTGGGGGGTGGTGGTGGCTAGTAGTCATGTCGGGGTCATCAGAGTGATAGCACCATCCTGGAGTCCCAGAGGGGTGGGCTCGGGGTGAGTCTGCTGCCGGTGCTGGCTCATTTATCATGATGCTCCTCTTTGCTGAGGTCATTCCCTCCCTCCACTGCACCCCTCAGGCCTGCCCACATTCTTGATAACCTGTTACCATGGTGAGGCCACCACATCACCATTCTTATTGTTCCCCCATGCCTGGATTTGGGGGTGGGGAGAGATGGGACTCAGAGCAGGCTGCAAGGGCCACTAGGCCTGGCCTCAAACACCCCCCCTCCCCCCCCCCAGGGACATCTTGCTAGGCTTGCTGAGGCCCAGACAATATGCAAATGGCCTCCAAGCCAGATGGTCGGCTTCCAAAGGCACCCAGGGGAGGAGGAAGGGTTAAGCAGAGTCAGGGGCTGGTGGCTTGAGGATGGCTCTGGGGAATCTCACTTTTACCTTCCCGCTGAGTCCTGCTGCCTTCCCACTGCTACAGAGGGTGTTTTTCCTGCTGGGATCCCATGCAATCATTCTCAAGATAAATATTTACTGAGCAACTAGTAGTGCCAGGTGCTAGGGAGATGGCGGTGAGCAAGACAGACACGGCCTACCCTCATGGAGCTGACAGGCCAGCAGGGAAGCCAGACATTACTTATTTAATGAGTTATGATAAATGCTCCTTTGTGTAGGGTTGGGGAAAACTTTTCTGAGGATGTTAACATTGAAGCTGAGGCCTGAAGAATGAATAGGGTAGGATGGGGGAGCAGAAGGAAGAACATATGGGAAGACCTGAGGCAGGAGGGATTTGGCAGGTTCAAGGTAACAGAACAGAGAAGGCAAGAAGATTGGCATGAGCAGTTTCAGGGGCCAGATCTGGAAGAGACTTCACTCTCCCCATGAAACCCAGGGTTATTCACCAAATCTGTGCTCCGAGGGCACAGAACCCACACTGCCTGGAACTGTGCTCTGTGTTTCTCTGCCTTGACACACATATCAAGATTCAGCTCAAATGTACAGGCACCGGTACTAGAGTGTTCTGAGGACCCAGCACTGGCCATAGCACACAGCACAGAACCTTACACACAGCCCTGGACTCCATCACTTCCTAGTTACGTGACCTTGGGTAAAGATTTCATGAGCCTCAGCTTCCTTCTTTGCAAATGGGAATTAAGAGTCTCATAGGGCTGTTGTGAGGATCGAACGAGATGATTCATATAAAGCTCTTGGCACTGTGCCTGGCATATCCATGCTGTAATTCTTCTATGATTCAGAAGAACCAGTACCTTTTGCCCTCTCTTGATGCCCTGAGCTTCCACACTCTGCCCCGGGGTCTAGCATCCTGGGGATATGTTCAGACCACTTTGGAGAGTGGGGTACAGTCAGCCAACCATTAATCAGACAGTGCTGGGACTAGCTGGGATTTTTTTTGTGGGATTCACTACCTTTCTTTTTTTTAATCCTCACCCAAGGATATGCTTTTATTGATTTTAGAGAGAGAGGAAGGGAAAGAGAAACATCAGTTGGTTGCCTACCGTACATGCCTCAACTGGTATGTGCAACCTAGGTATGTGCCCTGACCAGGAATCGAACCCACAACCCTCTGGTGTATGGGACGATACTCCAACCAACTGACCCCCCGCCCCCCGCCCCGGGAGGATTCACTAACTTGGAGAGTGGTGACGGAGCCCCAGACACTGGCCTTCTCTCTATTTTAGATGTTCAGACCCCAATGAGGCTGCCAGGACAACCCAGCTAGAAGGAACCACATCCCGAGGCCCTGGGTGCTAGAGGCCAGACTGCCCCTAGCACGCAGCCCCAGAAGGAGAGGGGCACCCGAACACAAGGTTTCCAGTGCAGGAGGCCTGGGACCCGGCCTGCCCATTGGGGAAAAGTCAGTGATAAGTGATGGGGGCTGCTTGCTGCCTGCGGCCGAGTGGTTAAGGATTTGGGTTCTGGAGCCGGGACGTGTGTGCCAGATGGCCTTGATAGGAAGTCACTTTACCTAAGTCTCAATGGCATCCTCTGACAATTTGGGACAATAATCCAACCACCAAAGAGTTGCTGTGAGGATTCAGGCATAAGGCCAGCAGCAGGCCAACACAGCATCACACACACAGGACAAATGTACATTTGCCCAGTGAGTTAGGAGTCCTGATCCTCCAGGCTACCAGAACCTCCTAAAAGCTACTGGCAAGCCCTAACCGGTTTGGCTCAGTGGATAGAGCGTCGGCCTGCGGACTGAAAGGTCCCGGGTTCGATTCGGCTAAGGCAGTGGTCGGCAAACTGCGGCTCGCGAGCCACATGCGGCTCTTTGGCCCCTTCAGTGTGGCTCTTCCACAAAATACCGGCTCTTCCACAAAATACCAACTTCTGCGCATGGGCCACGAAGTTTCAATCGCACTGTACGTGCGCGCCCACATGTGGTACTTTGTGGAAGAGCCACACTGAAGGGGCCAAAGAGCCGCATGTGGCTTGCGAGCCGTGTTTTGCTGACCACGGGGCTAAGGGCATGTACCTTGGTTGTGGGCACATCCCCAGTAGGAGGTGTGCAGGAGGCAGCTGATTGATGTTTCTCTCTCATCGATGTTTCTAACTCTCTATCCCTCTCCCTTCCTCTCTGTGAAAAATCAATAAAATATATATTTAAAAAAAAAAAAAGCTGCTGGCAATAGGGCACCATGATGCCCCTTAGAGAGCACCTAAAAAGGCTCCCACCAGAATCCCTCACCCTGGTGGGCTTGTCCTTGCCTGGGAACACTGGCCACCCACTGTGACACCCCCCCCCCCCCCACACACACACCCCACAGAGTCAAGCCTAGATTCTTCAGACTGAAAGAACAACCTCAAGGTCTTATCAGATATTGAATCCTGGCTGCAACAGACCCTCATCCAGCCTCTCTCTGACGCTTCAGGGAGAGTTTTCCCCCAACCAGAAATCTATCTTCCTGTCACTCCACTGAGCCTGGCTGGTCCCCGGGGACCATGCCGGCAAATGTGTCCCCTCATCCCCATGCCTGCCTTGAGATTTGGGAGAGATGGACCCTGGCTCCCCTGAGTCTTCTCTTCCATAGGTTAAACCACTCCTGTCCCCCACCAAGTCTACTAGGCTCCAAGCAAGGCTCTTCTGGGAGCCCACCCCAGGCCTTAGTTGAAAAGGGCAAAGAATGAGCTGGGATGGGGGGAATAAAAGAGAAGAGAGGGTAGAGAGAACATCAGAGGGTCCATTTACAAGTGAATGGGGGTAAGAAAGGAGCAGTTTGTGGGCTAAACTGGCCTCAGAAGGAGGTTTACAGATGTGCAAAGGGACGCTCCTCATTGTTTAATTAAGCAGAAAGTGGATCTTTTCAAAAGCAATTTTGCACAGGGACTGGGGTGGGGGTGGGGGGGTTGTAGGGGAGAGGATGGCAGTGGGGAGGGGATCTGCAAACAGGCCGAGAGCAAAGAAAAGAACAGCTGGCCCCAGAGAGGCTGTGAAATGCATAATAAGCAGTTTAAAGCACAGGGGAGCTCTCTCCAGCTCCTACCCTCCCTAGTCAGCCACCCTTTAACACAATGGCAGGACAGAGGAAGAGGGGCAGGGAAAGGTGAGGCCAACACGTCTCCTCCTGCGGGTCAGGGCAGGTAATGCCCCTGGTGGGGCAGTCTGTCTACCCATGTTTTGGGTTTGCTCCAGGCCACTGACCACCATGCATAGGTTGGAAGCCTTGAGTTAAAGGGATCCTTGAAGCAAAAAGCCAGCCCTCAGCAGCCACAATGCCCAAAGCTGGTGGGTGCCCAGATGACCTGTTTCATGGAGATGGCTATTAAGATGTCCCCCTACAACAGTGGTGGAGAACCCTTTTTTTTTGCCAAAGGCCATTTGTATATTTACAACATCATTTGTGGGCCATACAAATTTATCAACTTAAAAAATTAGCCTATGCCCTAACCGGTTTGGCTCAGTGGATAGAGCGTCGGCCTGCAAACTGAAGGGTCCCAGGTTCGATTCCGGTCAAGGGCATGTACCTTGGTTGCAGGCACATCCCCAATAGGGGATGTGCAGGAGGCAGCTGATCGATGTTTCTCTCTCATCGATGTTTCTAACTCTCTATCCCTCTCCCTTCCTCTCTGTAAAAAATTAATAAAATATATTTTTAAAAAATAAAATAAAAATTAGCCTACTATATTTGGTCAAACATTTAATTAACTCACTCCAATGCCTTGGCAGGGCCAGACTAAATGATTTCCTGGACCTTATATGGCCCACAGGCCAGATGTTCCCCATCCCTGCTTCCCAGAATTGTATACTTGCTTTGAAAGCAATGTTTCCAAAATGTAGATGTCAAATAGATAACCAAATCAGTGAATATGAAATCTAGCCCAACCTCCCATTGTACAGATGGGAGGACAGGCTCACAGAAAGAAGTGACTCGCTATTGGCAATGCCAGGCTCCTTGCTTGCAGTTTCACCCACTTTGGCTTTGCCCATCCTCTTCTCCCAAATTGGCCGGGTTGGAAGCTGTCCCCTGGCCCAAGACCCAGGGCCCTGGAGTTTCCTTGTTTGTGAGACTTGTCACAACCCATAAACTTATGGCTGCTATTTTCTCTGCTGGAGTCTCCAGGACCTACTTGGCCAAGTGGCAGCCCCTGGGCTGGGAAGGCTGCCAGACAACAGATCTGGGCACGGGCCGGGGAGAAGAGTAAGACTCTCCCAGTGGCAACTGTTGGGCTCCCATGTGCCAGGGTAAGGCCTGGCAGCTGCCAACCAGCTCTGCGGCTGCGATGTGACCCGAGCCTCTGGGCACGGCAGGGCAAAAATGGGAACCAGCAGCAGAGTAACAGCCAAGGGCCCAAGGCTGAGCAGAGGGACCACTTCCGCTTCCCTCTCGTCTCCTTTTCTTTCATTCCAGAGAGGGGAGGCTAGGCCCCACCTGCCCTGTAAGCAGCAAATGGAGGAGGAGGGATTGCAAACCTGGTTAGCCCACCTTCCTGAGTAACTCTGGACAGGTCTCCATTCTCTTGGTTTGGTTTCCTTGATGATAGATAGTATTTGCTGGGGTAATTATGAGAGTCAAAATACGTAAGTAGCTGCTGAAAGCATGAGTATAAATGAAAGTGTAAAAACTGGAAAGTACACTGCAGGTGTGAGATGTTATGTGACTCAGGGAGCCTCTTAGGGTAAATGATGATGGGTTAGACCCTGAAATCTGGTTTTGAATCCCAGCTCTGCCATGTAAACAACTGTATGACTGGAGTAAGACACATGACACCCGAGTTTGGGTGGCCACTTTTAAAAATGGAATGATAGCTACCGCCTAGGAATCTGTGACAATTATTTACACAACCAACTGGGGCTTTGCCAACCACGCCAAACTCAGCACGTGCCCCTCATGACACTGGACTTCTTTCAGTGCCCTGACATTCTGAGGCCTTTCACCAGGGGGTCTTCCCGAGGGCTACCTGCTTTGCTTGAAGCAGGCCCCAGCCCCTCCGCTGTCCCTCCCATTTACCGGGCTGACTTAGCCTCCAGGTCACCTCTTCAAAGAGGCCTTCCCTGACCACCTGTTGTCTAATTGAAAGCACCCCTTTGCTCTCATGCCCGTGACAACCACTTGTACAGTTATACACGTATGTATCTACGTATCTATTGCCTGGCACCACTTTCGTAAGCTCCATTATTAGGGCAAGAACCATATCTGTTTCACTAGCACCGAATACCCAGTAACTAGTACTATGCCTGGCAAAAAGGAGGCACTCAAATTAATATATGCCAACTACAGGAAAGAATAAAGTACTAATACTCAGTGAGCATTTGGCCAATGAATGAATAAAAGGGTTGGAATTATTAAACGTGGGGACATTCGTGCCATGCAAATGCAGGGGGAAATAAATCGTAATTTGTGGTATTTTAATCACTGCCCAGCCAGGTCTTTAAGGCTTCTTCTGAGAGCCTCGTGTTCCCTCCCAAAGTTGCATGGCCATCAGTCAAACTAAGAAACAGTCACCTGCATCACCCTGGCTCTTTCCCTACCGAGGACACACACAATCCCACAACCCTGACATTTAACCCCAGCCTCATACCCACCACCAGCTGAAAGGGGGCAGTGCCCTGGTCCTTGGTGAGTGTCCCCCAACCTCTGAATGTAGCACGTAGACCTACCTTGTGCCACTGCTCTCGGACCCGGAGGAGGATCAGAGATAACCTTGGCAGCCAGTGAATTTGGGGAATAATTGTTTGATTCCTGGCAGATGAGCGTCCAGTTCCAGAAGAACCCTGTCAAACCGCCCTGACCTTTTCTTCTGCCTGCCTCCAGGAACCTCATTCCCCTGCCTCCTAAGACTGATTTCCTCTTCTCCCCTGAAGCGTCTCGGCCCTAGGGAAAATGGCTCTCAGTCCTGAGGGTCCTGAGCATTCTTCTCTGACGAGGACCCACTGCTAGGAATGTGGTGCATCTCCACAGTGATACCACCCCTGCCTCTGGGCTACACTGATATTTATCCAGCTGGACCTCTTCAACCCCCATTATTAGGGCAAGAACCATATCTGTTTCACTAGCACCGAATACCCAGTAACTAGTTCTATGCCTGGCACAAAGGAGGCCCTAAAATGAGCTTCCCACCCCCCGCCCCTCCAGAGTTTGAAGGCAGGGACTGGCTCTCATTCATGGCTGTCTCCCCAGTGCCTGGTACATGGTCTGCCACACAGGAAGTGCTCAGTATATGTTTGTTAAAGAAAGATGAACCAGTATTTAAATGGACAAAAGAAAAAAGCCCATTGTCTCTCTCAGTCATCCTCCCTCCTCCAGCTTCCTTTTTGGCTGGGTATCTTCTCATCTGAATCCTCTTACCATAATGTGAGCCCATGTGCCTTTTCCCATCCTCGGTGAGGATTACCCACCTTCATGAGAACATCTCTCTGCTGCCATATAATAATAATAAAGATGCTCCCTTAGCCCTGGCCAAGTAGCTCGGTTGGTTAAAGCATTATCCTAATACACCAAGATTGCGGGTTTAATTCCCGGTCCGGGCACATACAAGAAGCAACAAATGAATGCATAAATAAGTGGAACAACAAATTGATGTTTCTCCCTTCCTTTCTTTCTCTCTAAAATCAATAAAGGAAAAACACTTTAAAAATTAAGTTAATAGAGATGCTCCCTTTAGCAACCCTGAGAGCTGGAGATTACCATCCTACTTCACAGATAAGAACACTAAATCTAAGAGAGGTGAGCGCACTGGCCTAAGGTCCTAAGGGGATGCACACTTAACCCACATTCATGAAGACTTAGGCACGCCACCACCCTCCTGCAAAGCTGGCTGGTCTGAGAGAGGATGGCGAAGGGTACCCTGGTGATCTCTCTTCCTCCTTCCCTCTGGCCAGGAAATCTGACCTATTCCCACTTGAACGGGGTTGAATGACCCTGTAGACTCCTGCCCAGTGTACCCCAGAGAGGGGCTCAGACACCCATACTCACAGGGCTCCTCCTGTCCAGGCAAGGTGACCTGATGTTTTTTCACACCGTCGAACAGCAGCTCCGCGCCACCTCTGCAAAGGAGGCCAGAGAAAGACAGCCGGGTCAGTTCCTGCACACACCTAGCTGAGAATGAAAACCGAGGAGGGGGCTGGCACCAGAGCACACGAGATGCCGAGATCCAAGGTTCGGGAACACCTTGGGTACCGGTGACTGATTCCTGATGTGGTCAGTAGGATAGAAATCATTTTTACCAATAACCAAGTATTCAATTTGCAGACTCTTGTTTTCACTCCTCTGCTTTCTCAAGAGGCAGCTTAGCATACAGGTTCAGGTTGGGTGCTTTCCGCCTCGAGATGGAGACAGCCTCCACCCCTGCCTGACACCCGGACCCCGGGCATGTGACTCCGTGTTCTCAAGCCTTAGCCTTTCCATCTACAAAAATGTTGAGAAGCCACCATGAGTCACACTGCAGACCCTGTATGTGTTGAGGGGTTTCCTCTGGCCAGGTGAGGGTTTGAAATGTCCCTGCTGTGCCAACCACTGCTGGCCTGGTGGCACAACACAGTGCCGGAGGGTAAGAGATTCCACCAGGCTTAGCAATTTACAAGACCATTCTTCATCTCATTTCATCCTCAGGGCATCCCAGGGAAGAAAGAAGGGAGGCAGACATTATTAACGCCATCCAATGGAGAAGAAGCCTGAAGAAGTTAAGTGACTTGTCTAAAGTCACAGAGGTAGTGGCTGAACTAGGCTTTGAAGTCTAACTGGTTTCTGCTTAGCCCTGGCAGCCTTAGCAGAAAAAAAACCCAAAAAAACAAGACCCCCCCGCCCAAAGGTCAGAAAGCCCCTTGAGGGTAGAATTTGGTTCACTTCTGTGTGCCAGCACCAGACAAGGGAAGGCTGGTTCAGCAGAGATGCTCAGAGACAACTCCAGAAGCCTGGGCTTATGATGTGGACACCAGGACTCTTTCGGGGCCCCACACTGCTTCTCCCCTGGGTCTCCTGATTCCATTGCAGACTTCACGTGGATCTTAACTGAGAAGGCCTTAAAAGGCCTTTGACAAGATGCGAGGCCTCCCACCCTACCACTCTTTCCCAATTTCCGAGAACAGAGATGTCCTGAGACATGCCACTGGGAGGCAAAGGCAAGGCAAGCATTGTCATGGGGAAAACATGGGGCGACTGTCATCCAAACAAGGTTATGCTTTGTTGACGCAGAAATGTGGAGGGGGAGAGGAGGCCCATCTGTGGCCGCGCACAGGGCCATTTCAGCTGCAAGCCTGCACAGAGCCTCCATTTATCCCCTTCCAAGAGCCTCGTTCTCTCCTGGGTGGGGGCTGGCACATGCAGCAGCTGGGCTGGGGGAGGGCCACAGGCAAGGGGCTCAGAAATTGGGGGGTCAGAGAAAAGGGGTGGGAGCTGGAGACATTGGGACCCAGGCAAACAACCAAGAATGGCCAAACCTGGTGGTGCCAGGCTCAGCGGCCGAGTCTGTTTTTCCCTTTGCGAGCAGATGAAGAGAGAGCCAGAGAGTGACCTCGCTCAGAGCGTGACCTGTCACCGCGGGGCTCACTAGCTCACCGAGAGGGGTGTGTGCTGTCAGCACACCTGGAGGGGAATGAGGTGTATGCCCAGACTCTGGAGTGATACAGGGAGGCAGGCAAGGGTCCTGTTTTGGCCCCATTAGAGAACCAAAGCCAGACTCTTTTATGTCTGACAGAGTTTGCTCTTCAAGGTCAATTAAGGAATTGTATCTTAAGATACCTCATCTTTCTTCCAGTCCCCAAATCTTGGTGGGAGTGTTTCTTGGTACCAGTGACTGGTATAAACATTCCCAAAATTGCCTTCACTTTTTCTAGCTTATCATCTTCTTATCACACACACACACACACACACACACACACACACACAAACATACATATATAAAATATATATATTTTTTATTTCAGAGAGGAAGGGAGAGGGAGAGAGATAGAAACATCAATGAGAGAGAATTATTGATCGGCTGCCTCCTGCACCCCCCTACTAGGGATTGAACCCGCAACCTAGGCATGTGCCCTGACCAGGAATCAAAGCGTGACCTCCTGGTTCATAGGTTGATGCTCAACTACTGAGCCACACCGGCTGGGCTTATCTTATATTTTTAAATTTTTGTTTATTTCCCCTCTACCGGCTGGAATGCAAGCTCTGCCTAAAACAAGGCCTGACACATAGGAGGCACTCAGTTTGCCATGAGTGAAAATGCCCATTTCTCCCACTTCTTCTCTAACTTCATTCCCTCCCTTTGTCAATACCTCCAGACTCAGGAAGAAGGAATACAGAAAAGGAGGAGGGAATCTCATATCTGCACCACAGGAACAAAACACACCTATACTACAGACTTTGGATCCTGTGTGATTAAGGACAGTTCAGGAGGGAAGACAAAGGAGGGCAGAACTGATAAGAGTGAGAAAGGTCTGAGCGGTCTTCTGGATCAGAGCTGGTGGGGCTGGGAGGTCATCTGCTCAAGGGGGAGAGGCCAAGTCCTCACCCAGACTCTTCAAGGATCACAGTGGCCGCTTCTATGCAAATCTGCTAAGGTTCAGAGTGAAGGGTGAAGGGAGTCTGCTAAGAAACGTAGGAAATTAAAGGAAGGCCAGGGACAAAACCAGGCATTGAGAAAAGAACAAAGAGAGAAGGTATCTGGGTTTGGTACGCATCTTGGGCATTCCTGCTTTCCTGAGGAGCTGTGATTCTCATGGGACACAGGTGGTGGATGGAGGTGTTAGGAGGTGGGTAAATGGGTGCAGGAATGCTGTCCTGCCCTGTTGGGGCTCACTGTTGCTCTTGGGGATAAGGGAGGCTGAGGCTAGACATAGTCGGGCCAGAAAAGGGGTAATTAAGCTAGTCTATAAGCTCTGGAGGGCAAGGACCATATCTTCTTCACAGGAATTCCCTACTGCTGACAGACAGAAGACATTTTTGATCAACAAATACCATGTCTGACTCAGTGAGACTGAAAGGTGAGGTTGGCTGGAGATAAACCTTAACATTGGCAGTCGGCAGCTTCCCCATTTTCAGCTCTGCTAAGGCCTGTCAAAGCAGCAGGGACCTCCTGGAACCTCTACGCTATGGGGGCCATGGCTGGGCCAAGGGTCAGTGAAGCAAAACAGTCAGGAGTCCAAGCCAGTATGGTTCTAACTGGATCCAAGGAGCTAGACAACATCATCAATTAAAATGCATTTAACATTCATGAGGCTACCTCCCCCGAAGGGACAGAAATGCTGAACACTGGAGAACATGGACAGAGTTCCATTTATCTTTGTATCCTCAGTGTCTGGCTCGCTGCCTGGCACATGGTAGGCACTCAATAAATGACTAGTGAATAAACTACCCAATGAAGGGAAAGCATGAAAGAAACTGGGGGCATCCAACATAAGAAAAGGCATTTAGGGACAGAGGTTTTATATCCCCATTTCAGACTTTTCCTTTCACATAAGCCTTGGCTTGTTTACCCCTCCACCCCCCCCCCCACACACACACACACACTCTCAAGCTTCCATATGACTGGAAATTATACTACCCATCTCTTAGGGTGTCGGTTCCTTTGCCTTCTAAGCTCAGCAGTTTCTCTCAGCTCTGAAATCATATATAGAGGACAGAAAGTAGTGGTTTGAGGTGACATCCTCCCTGATCAGTGTTTCTTCAGCTACTGTTATGCATACTCCGATTCCTGTACTTTTCATCTGTGCATACTGTACTGTCAGGGTTAGTCTTCCCCACTGCGCTACCTTGTCCCTACATCTCCACCTGCCTGCAGACAGACTCAGTAAATGCACTGAACGTCCTAAAAGGGGCTCAGGTGTGTTTAACACCCCAAATATTGCGAAAGAGAAGAAAGGAGTCTCGTCTTGGCTACACACCCCACGAGAATCAAGGCTTCAAGAACCCTGTAAGTGGACTTGCTGCCAGGAAAAAAGAATGCAGGAGTGTACGGTAGTCCTTCTGGGCTCTAGATCAGGTGCCAGACACATGGGCTTGGTCCAAAAACGGGATTGGCAAATAAGGTGGGGAGCCCGCCTGCCAACCATCACGCCTTTTGAGGCCGGCAGGGTAGAGGGCACTGAAGAGTGTCCGGGGCGCACCTCCACGCCCGGCCGTGCGCCTCTATTCCCGGACTTACGGCCTCGTCGCCAAAGGAGACCGAGCCTTTCAGACCCTCCGAGGCGGACGGCGTAGCTCAAAGAACGCGCCAGAAACCTCGGAGATTCGGTCATGACAGGCCCCAAAGCAGAGGGAGAGGAGTTCTGGGCCTGAAGACTTCAATCCATCCCCACGGCGCCCCCAACTCTGTGACTCACCCGAACTCCACCTCCACTGATAAGGGCGCTGCCATGTTGAGGAAGCCGAGGTCGCAGGAAACTCCCTTCAACTTCCGGCGCTCCCGCCCCACTTCCGGTCTCCGCTGACGGAAGAGGCGGTGCCCAGGGAGCCGTTGTCCTCAGCTATTGGACAAAGGCCCGGGGTGGGCGGGGAAGGTCACGGGGGCCGGGGCAGGGGGTGGTCCTTTGAGTTGGTCCCTCACTGTCTTTTAGGGAAGGAGCTCAGACCCCCAAGGTGGACAGCGACCAGTAAGCCACAGCCGGGCGGAGGAGAGCCCGCCGCTTCTTGGCGCAGCGACTGTGAGCCACGTTACTGTTTATCTTGGGATTAGTTACAAATATCTTGTCCGCACACCGCTTGGGCGAGCCCGTCCACCCTTCTGAATAAGTGACCCCTCCAATCTTTATTTACAGCCCAGAAATCTCCCTCCTGAGCTATCCACTCGCCATCCAACCACCCCCTTCGCTGTCGAGTTGGATTTAACCCATTCTACAGATATTTATTGCACGTCCTCTGTGGACCAGGCATCTTGGTGGGTGCTGTGGGCGCCGTGGTGAACCGGATGGACGAGATGCCTGCAATGGGGCACTCACAGTTGAGTGGGGGAAACTAACGCTGATCATATAAACACATCAGCCTTCCTAGTAAATGTAAAACCTCAAAGAAGTGACTCAGAGTTTGAGCTGAGCTTTAAAGCCTGAGGAGAATTATGCAGGTGGATGTCAGGGGAGAGAAAGCTCCGGGAGCATTCCAGTGTGGAGATCAGAAGGTGCAAAGGCTGTGGGTGGGAGAGCATGCTGGATCAACAGGACAGGAAGGTGCAAATTGGGGAACAGAGAACCTGATGAGAGATGAGGCTAGAAAAGTGGGCAGGGACCAAATCATGCCTTGTCAGCCAGGTAAGAATTTCAGTCTCTATTCTAAGAACAATGGGCGGCCTTTGAAGAGTTTTAAGAGGGGGCGACATTATTAGAACTGTTTCAAAATATCCTTTCTGGCTGCAGTGTGGAGAGTGGTTTGAAAAGGAACAAGGAAGAAGATAGGAGACCACTGGAGCCTGTTACAAAAGCTCCGGGCACAAATGGAGTGAAGGGGATGTCTACTCAGCATTGGTAGAGTAGGGTGGTGTAGTCTGCTGGTTAAGGGCAGAATGATGTTAAAAAGTGTGAGTTCAACTACCAGCTTATGATCTAGGTCCCACCACTTCCTAGCTGTATCTTTGGGCAAGTCCCTACACATCTTTGTGCCTCAGTTTCCTAGTCTGTAAAATGGAGATGATAACAGCCCCTACTTCATAGGGCTTTAGTGAGGACTAAATGAGTTTTTGGCACAGTGCCTCCTTCCCTAAAAAGGCTCTCACTTGTAACACTCAAACAAGAAACCTTGGACATTGTTCTTAATCCTCTCCTACACCCAGTCACCAAATTTGGACAAATGAGACACAGCCCTGGTTCTCAAACAGTGCAAAGGAATCCTATGGTAAATGGAGAGGCCCCACATTCCTCATGCTGGATAGGTCACTTCTCCTCCCTCATGCTGGATAGGTCACTTCTCCTCTCTGGAACTCAGTTTCCCCAATCTGTAAAAAAGGTTTAGGGCCAAAGGATCTTAAGGTCCCTTCAACAAAAATGTTCTTCTAAGATTATTTCACTGGATCCAGCTCCCCCAGGGTACAAACCTTGCCTGATTCATCTTTGATCCCTAGCTCATGGTATTGATACTGCACATTGTTGGGGTCTGGTAAGTGCTTGCTGAATGAATGAATGAATGAATGAACACATATCACTCCCCTGCTCAAAATCATTTAATGGGCTTCTCTTTACTAACAAGACAAGGGCCTTCCCAGAAATCATTCAAGAGCCCTCTGATCCCAGCCTACCTCTGAGTTGAATATCCTCTGACCCTGGGAACTCCCACCTCCTGCACCAGAGAGCTGAGGAGCATTTGAAGAGCTTCATCCATTTCACAAACATTCACTGAGCACCTATTAAGTGCCAGGCCCAGTGCTGGTGCTGGGACTACAATGGTGAACAAAACCAATGAGGTCCCTGCCCTCAAGGGCTGATGTTCTAGGACAGCGGTTGCCAGTCAGTGGTCCGCGGACCACTCGTGGTTCGTGAGGTCCGAAAGGTTGGCAACCACTGTTCTAGGAGACACCGATGGAAAAATGTATAAAACGGCCCTGGCTGGTTGCTCAGTGGTTAGAGCACCGGCCCAGGGACCAAAGGGTCAAGGGCATGTACTTCAATTACAGGTTCCCCAGGCCCCGTATGGACATGTGCAGGAGGCAACCAATTGATTTGTCACTCTCACTTCAATGTTTCTCTCTCTTTCTCCCTCTCCTCCCTCCCTTCCACTCTGTCTAGATTCGAAATCAATGAAAAAAATATCAGGTGAGGATTAAAAAAAAAAAAAATCGGACTCAGTGGTTGAGCATCAACCTATGAACCAGGAGGTCACGGTTCGATTCCGGTCATTGGGGAACATGCCTGGGTTGCAGGCTCGATTCCCAGTGGGGGACATACAGGAGGCAGTTGATCAATGATTCTCATCATTGATGTTTCTATTTCTCTCTCCTTTCCCTTCCTCTCTGAAGTCAATAAAAATATATTTTTAAAAACCAGAAATGGACCACACAGTGCAATCAGTGTTATGAAGGGGGAACACGAGGTAGGGGGACACTGTAGGAGCAGGAGGAGGCCCCTAATCCAGCCCTGGAGGTCACTTCTAAACCCAAATCCAAAGGAGTTGTGGGAGGTGGGGGTGGGGAGGGAGAAGGTGCATGGGAAAGCCAGAGGCATTCCCTCCCTCCTGGAGGAGTGGGAATCCTTCCCCCCCCCTCCCCCCAGCAGGCAGGGGGTCCACCAGAGAGACTGGGAGCTACCTTCTGGGTAAAGCAGCCATTCTGTGAATGCCTGGGACTCACTCTGCTCCTGAGCCGACTCCACTCCGTGCCCACTTTGCACCTGCCAGGGGCATGAATTACCAGGTTGATTCCTCACAGGGACTATTACCCCCATTTTCGGAAAAAAAAAATTATTGATTTTAGACAGAGGAAGGAGGAAACAAACATTGATTTGTTGTTCCACTTATTTATGCATTCATTAGTTTTGATTCCTGCATGTGCCTTGATGGGAGATCAAACCCAAAACCCTGGCGTATCCGGACGATGCTCTAACTGAGCTGTCTGGCCAGGGCAATCCCCCGTTTTCAAATGAGAAAAGCTGAGGCTCAGGACCAGTGGCTTGCCCCTGGGACCCCTAAACGTCAGGCCTCATCCGAGGCTGCTGTGCTTCAGGATCCCTGCCCCTCCTCCCTGAACCTCTCTCTGGTTGGGCCCAGCTCCCCCAAGGGCCTTCCCCTGGGATCCCGCAGAAGAAAGCTTCCACTGGACCCAGCTCCCCCAGGGCCCCATCCCCAGTCCTCTCCAGCAAGCCGGCCAGCCCGGGCGTCGGCCTCCATCCCTTCAGAAGCTGCTAGGGAGACAATGGCGGGGTCTGCGGGGGAGGCGAGGGCGCGGGTGCCCCCCTGCCCGCTGCCCTTTGTCTTCCCGCCTGCTCCCCTCGCGCGACCGGGGAGGCTGGGAGGCGCCTCTCGCCGGCTTCCTCCTCCCATTCTTGTGCTAATTGGGTGTCAAGCTGAGATCAGTGAGAAAGAAATCCACCCCGGCTCGGGTTAAACTGCCGCCAAAGACCAGGGCTGAGCCCAGAATATCATTAGTCGGGGAGGAAGCAGGGCCCCTCCTCGGGGTGAGGGGCCAGCCGCTCATTCAGATCCCTTTGAAAGTCACTCGGTTGCCCCCGCCTTTGCCGCCGCTTCAATGGGCCCCTCGGAGGTATTTAACCTTCTTCCCAGGAATTGAAAGTGAGAGGCCACGCACTGGCTTGGGCGGCCACTTGCCTGTCCCGAGGGCGGTAGGACCTCCGGGGTCGCTGGAGGCAGGCCTCCCGGGCGCAGGCTGCAGATGGGGACACTGAGGCTCCCAGAATGGGGCCTTGCCTCCCGGCGCCACCCTTCACAGGCTCTGTAGTTAATGGAGAGACTCGGACTCTCTGAGCATCAAAATAGCAGCTGCTTTGTTATGGGTTTAATGCAGTAACGCACAGGAAGCGCTTTGCACAATTCCTGGCACACAGGAAGAGTTCCCCATGCGGAGGCTATCAGCCAGCCCAAGGAAGGGGTTTGACTGCACACTAGCACCTCCTGGCGGGCTCCCAGGCGCTGGAGGTGTGCAATTACAAGTGCCCAAAAGGCACTCATTTTCAGATCTTGCCTCAACTCTACCCCGCTTCATCCCCCGTAGCCAAACTGCACTTCACTCCAGGCCTTTACATTTTGCTGCTCCTTCTGTTCAGAACACCCTTCCCCTCTGATTCTTGGAGCTCTTTTTTTAAAAAAAAGATATTTTATTGATTTTTTACAGAGAGGAAGGGAGAGGGATAGAAAGTTAGAAACATCAATGAGAGAGAAACATCGATCAGCTGCCTCCTGCACACTCCCTACTGGAGATGTGCCCGCAACCAAGGTACATGCCCTTGAGCGGAATCGAACCTGGGACCTTTCAGTCCACAGGCTGACACTCTATCCACTGAGCCAAACCGGTTATGGCATGGAGCTCTTTTTTGAAAAGTCTCCCTGACCTGGAAACACGGTCCCCCCCACTCTTGTGCTGTCAGGAAGCCAGATTAGGTCAGCTAAGCACATACCCTTTGCTGCTTTACTGCCAGCCTCCTCTGCCTTGTCCAGGCCTGGGTCTCTATCTTGCTCACCCTGGGCTCCCTCACCCCCACCCCACCCCCTGCACAAACTCCTTTAGAATCTGCTCCATAGATGAAATTACTTGGTGCTCTGTAAACTGTGGAGCACTATACAGATGTCAGGAAATGCCCAATAGACACTATCATTAACTGCACAAGCACACACTGTGTGCACGGAGACATCTCACACAGCCATGTGTGCATGAGGCTGATTGCACACCTCCAGCGCCTGGGAGCCCACCAGTCCCACCGCTTCATGGAGGGGCTGATATGGAAGTGGGAAATTTAGGCCTAGTCTGGGGTCTTAACACCTGAACATACACTGAGTGGCCAGATTATTATGACCACCTGACGTTTGTAGGCAA